ATTTTCCCCTGAAGTCTTTTTGTTCACAAAGACCTATGAAAGTAGGAAAAGGGAAAACCTAGGTAGGGAAATAAAAGGCCGTCCATGGCACATTCTGAAGACGGAGAGATGGTCTCCATGCACAGTTCTCCCATCTAACCTGGCACACTGCAACTAAATTGGTGCTTGGAGATGTGTGATGTATCTGAAATATCTAGCACATTCTTAATTCTCTCTTGTGAAAGGCAGAAATGATTCTTACAAGATGATCACCTAAGGCTTAGTAGAAAATTTTAGTCATTTTACAATTTAAGTTTATAAAAGTTTTTCCTTAGTTTTCCCCTAGTTTTTCCTTACATCAAATCTGTTTCCTGGGACTTCTAGAGGGATGATAGTCAACATCACTTTCAGGGGGACCTGGAAGCAAGAAAACATCAATGTATACAAAATTCACTTAAAATCTCTGAGAATTTCTCTGAGATTACTTGCAGGCAAATAATGATTCCCCAATCTCTTATATCTCAAGACAAGCTCAAGAAAAAATGTTTTTTTCTTTGTGTAATATTGCTGTTATTCATCATTATTGTTCCTATCATTATATATTAAGACCCACCAAAGTAATATTAAAGATTGTTCATATGAGTATACTTCTTTCTTATATGAGTTCAATATTTTCTCATAGTTTCTCATATTTTCTGGAAAAGAGCAAAGCCTGCTGATATTTTGTCTAGAGTATTACTCTAAGTAATTGACTTTTTTTGTTCAAACCATGCAAGTCTGAGGAACAAACCAAGGATAAGCCTAGAAAGAAATAGGCTGTGTCATGGTGAGTACTCTGATTTTATCACCAGGCCTCCGAATTGAAGTGTACATAGGCATTTATCCCTGAGAGTAATTGGAAGAACCCTTGGGCACAAAAACTTAGTTGTTCTTGGCATTTATAGCTAACATTTGTTGAACACCTATTATTTTCCCAGCCTATATTTTTATGGTTTTTCTTCTACCATTCTGACAATCTGAAAAGTGGATTGTTATCTACTATTATTCCTATTTTAGAGTTGGAGAACTATGTCTCCGTTCACAAAGCTAATAATTGTCAGAACACATGCTCACTCTTGGCCTGCTTAGCTCAGGAACGCAGAGTCCATCCTCTCAGACACATGACCATCCTCCTTCAGAGAGCAATGTTGTGTTTTACTGTCGAGTTATCTTGAACTTAGATCTCGATACCATACTCTGTATCATACCCAATATGGTTCTGAAACCCACTTCTGATTTCCTTATCCACGGGACTTTTTATGGAGGAGAATAAACTCAGTTCTTGTCCTGGCCAAGATTTGTTCTAGGAGGTTCTATTGCAAACCTCTTGACTCTCACACACTATTATTGTTCAATTCTGCCTCAGCCTCAGGTGGTCATGTCCTCTTAATTCTGACTCATTGCTCCGTCAACTTGATGACTCAGGTTTTGCTGGGGTGCCAAGGCCTCTCTAGAGGCTTGAAAAGGAGCACTGACCTCCCTGACGTGTATCATGTAGGAACCCCAGGTGGGTGGGCTGGGTTGGAGCACTCTGTCTTAGTAGCAGTATGCACACTTTGTGTTGCGTCACTGACTCTGCTCAATCCTGCCCATCCTGGGCTTTGTTCTCTGGTGGTGCCTGTGATTGCCAGGCTGTGGTGCTCAGAAGGGCAGAAGGTACTTTTCCATGGTCAAGGGAAGAGGAACGTCCTGATTGGGGTTCAGGTGAAGAGAATTTTTCTGTATTTTCAGCATTTTCCTTAACTCTTCCGTGTCATCACTTCACAGTGTAAGTGGTGGTAAAATGTTTGCTCATTCAGTACATGTTTTTAAGGCACCTGTTTATGTTCTAGACCCTGTGCTCTGGGGTTGTCATGACAACTAGGATAAAAATTGTTCTTTCTTTCATAGTTTATCATTTTTTGAATGATTCATACACATGACGAGTAGATTGCAAACAATTTGATAAAGACTCTGGTAATGCCATAACAGAATATTTTGAGAGCACATAACAGCATGTCTTCTGTGGATTTAAAGGGCTTGCTGGGGGGCAGATAATTGGAAGAAAGTGACTTGAAGGATGGCTAGAAGAAATTAGGCAGATATAGAGGTTAGAGGTCAACTAATAAGGAAAATCAGACTTTCAAGAACGAAGGAATAGGATCAGAGAGGTAGTACAAGGATTAAGTTGCTTGGCTAGTCTGCAGCTGACCCCAGTTTCATCCTCAGCACACATATGGTCCCCCAAATACCACTTGGAGTGATCTCTGAGCTCAGATAGTACTAATCCCTAAGTGTGAGCTTTCCCAGGTGCGAACCAGACCCATGCCCCCTAAAAAAGATAAGGAATGAATACAACTTTAAAGGCCCACAGGTAGTAAAAGCAGACAGAAATTTAGCAGCCACAAAGAGCTGAGCACAGCTGAGGCCAAGTTTGAAATAGAATGTGGCATGGTGTGAAGCAGGAGAGGTTAGTAGAGTGATGATATGAAGGTTGTGCAGTCTCAACTTTCTGTGGGTCACACAGTGACCCACCATAATTTGGACAATAACTGGCAAGAGAAATAATCTACACTCGGCTATGCTCATGGATTATTCCTGGTTCTGAGCTCAAGGATCACTTCTGGTGGGCTTAAAGAACCATATGGGGTTCCAGAGATGGAACCCAGTTCAACCAAGTGTGCTATCTGCTGTATTATCTTTCCAACCTTGGAGTAACTTGTTTTGAATTCTATTATGGACTGGGAGTGATAAACAATCTCATAGTACTTATTTAGGTCTTGGAGCATCCTCATACAATTTAGGAGCTCTAAGTCAGTGAAGTGTCTCCTTATTACCTTGGGTTTCCATGGGAGTCCTGTGGCTCAAGACATACCAGTATTTCCCCTACTGCTTCTAGCAATTTCCCCACTCAGAAATCTGGTGCCCTGACTCCAGGTCTACTTCTGCTGCTGCCTCTACAACCAGGTCTGACACATTCATAACTACTAAGATTGACCTCACCGCACCACTCGGTATTAAGGACCGAGCCTGCACTTTCACATTGACCAGCAACCCTACTAGTAGGTGTGGTTAGTCCATTGCATAAGAGACTCAGAGACATCAAATGCCTTCTCCCAAGACCCAAAGCTGTGAGAGTCAAGGGAGAATTTGGACCTGGTTTGTTTCCAAAGCTACTTCATGTACTTAACAGCACCTCTTTATCTATTGGTAGTTATGATTAGGCTCTTTTGCATTTTCTTGGTACTTGAGATTTTCTTATTGATCTTTTCCCGAGGAGTCAAGATCTTAAGCTTGGGTCGGAGGGTCTTGTTCTGTTTTTCAGCCATAACTGGCAGTGCTCAAGGGCTTCTTTCAGTTCTGTGCTCCAGGTTGCTCCCAGAAATTCTAGGGGTGTGGGACCATATATGCTGGGGATGGAAGCTGGGCCTTCTCTAGTTAAATCTGCACTCAGCACATGGAGCTGTTCCTCTAGTACTGGTTCACAGATTTTTGAAGGGCTTCACTAAGAACTATTTTGGGGAGTCTTCTCCAAGAACTAAATGTGTCCTTCCCACATAGGAAGGACTCAGTACAGGTAGCACAACCCTCACGAACATGTTTGGAGATCAATTTGAAGCATGTTCTTCCAGGCTTTTGCTCAAGTCGACCTCCCCTTTCCTACATTGATTAAGAATAAGTTAAAATAATAGCTTCTAAAAAAAGAAAAAGCAACTTCAAATTCTGACTTTGACTAGTATTTTTAAATTTCTCCCAGAGAATTTAGTGATTAAAAAAAAAAGAAATGTAAATGTACTGTTAGATCTCCATTGGCCTATTTGCAGATATCACCCAAAAACAATTAGCAGGTGAGATACCTTCTTCAACACCAAGGCAGATTCACTGCTCACTGTTTTTGAGTTACTTTTACATTATCATTTTAATGTTCAATTCTAAATAAAATAGTGTTTCTGTTCCTCGGCTTCTGCCCTTTATTTTCAAAACACTGATAAAGCTGGAATCTGTCTCACAGATTCTAACTGTAGGGATGGATGTTTTTTGCTAGCAAGGGTTCTGGTTTCAGACAAGGGCACTAATGAATCAATTACAAGGCTCTTATTAAGTGTCTCCTAGCTAAAAGCATAGCTTTTCCTGCAAAACCAGACGGCCCTTTTTGTACTCTTGAAAGTAATCTGGACCCATCACTTATTACATTTATTATGAGCAGCAAGGAGAAACAATTTTCAAATTGTTTTTATTGATCTTGTTGTATTTTCTACTGAATAGGACTCTCTATAAAAAAAAGGAGATATAGTGAATTCTGATTAACATAGTGAAAATATTTTGTTGAAGAAAGATGTTTTTAAATAGTTTATAATAATACACAATTTGGAGTCAGCAGACCTGAACATGAAGCCTGACCTTCTATTTTTCTTTTATAAAACATTTTTTAAGTTTTTTAATTTTAGGCACCATGATTTACAATGCTGTTATGATAGCATTTTATGCATACAACATTCCAATATCATACCCTTTACCAGGTAAACTAAGTGTACTCGTTCATGTCCCCACCATGGTAACATCGGCCACTTACTTTCCTAGCTATGTGAACTAAACTGAGGATATCAGTTTCCCTTACTGTAAGCTGGGAATAATAATATTTCATAAACATATAACAATGAAATATTATTTCATATATAAAATTGAAATATATTATATTTTATATAACATATTTTTCATATATAACAATGAAATATTATTTCATTGTTAAACGGACTAGATTTAGCAATTTGTTGTGTGAACTATTATCATCTCCCTATATTTGGTAATCAATTTATATATTTTCATCTGCTCATTATCTTTTCTCCCTACCACCCCCATTTCTTCTTCAGGATCTTGCTTTCATGAATACTCTAAATTTTATTTTCTATAATTATGTGTCAAAACAAGGCTTCAAGAAGTTTCAGCTGAAGTTTTGCTTCCATTTAACTTCTTTCAATCAGATGATTATGTTTTCATTGCAGAATGATGAAGTGGAGTTTGTCCGAACTGGCTATGGAAAGGATATGGTAAAAGTTCTCCATATTAGGCGAGATGGAAAATATCACACCATCAAGCAGGTTACAACATCAGTGCAGCTTACTCTGAGCTCCAAAAAAGATTACCTGCATGGAGATAACTCAGATATCATCCCTACAGACACCATCAAGAACACAGTTCATGTCTTGGCAAAGTTAAAAGGGGTATGTGTTTTTTTTGTTTTGGTTTGTTTTGTTTTCCAGATACTGTCTTCCTTAAAGCTAACTCCACTACACTATAGCAGGAGTCTATTAGTTTTTCTTTAGTGGAGGTGGGATGCTGAGGATTCAACTTAGGGTGTATATTCACATTGAAGTCATAGGAATTTTTTTTATTCTGTTCTAAAATTCTCAACCTTACAGAAAAACTTGCTTTAAAAACAAAAACAAAGCAGAACAAAAAATCTTATCTCAGGGCTGGAAGATGACCAGTGACTTTCAGAGCTTACCTTACAAGTAAGAGGCCGTGAATGGAAACTTTGGTGCTGCCAGCTTGAATAAAGTGGCCCTAACAATTCCAGCAAAGACCCCTAACGAGGATGAAAAAGCATATCTCTTTGTTCTTTTCCCTGGGTTCTCAACCTGATTTCAGTGAGAATCTATGTGACAATTTTACATATTTCTTAAGTAGCATCTTTGGCAAAACAAGGTCCCGCAAGGATTTCAGAATAGAATTTAACACATTTGTTATGCATTCCTTTGAGTCATATTATACTTTTCCCCCCTTTTAGGATGGTGTGCATTTATAGAAAAAAGTGCTATTTCTCTTTCGGGTATTATTATAGAAGAAAAGTTTGTGTATAAGATGCACTTTGAAATCTATTTATCCTATTTTTAGTGTCATAATTTTTCCAGGTCCCTGACCACTTATTTGCTCTTCAAAGGGGTCTTGTATTTGTTTGTAGCTGATGTTTTAACACATCCAGCTTATTTATTTGTTTGTATGTTTTTGATAGAAAAATGTATTATTTATCTTCCTGGTGTCAATTAAGAATAAGTGAACTATATTGGGCCCTGAGCAGATTTCTGACAATTCAAGAAAATAATTATTTTAAATATCTGATTAGTCAATTTTTATTTAATTTATTTGGACGGATTCCCCAGTGGTGTTCAGGGATTCCAGGGGTCACTTCAGGCAATACTTAGCCGGCTACTCAGGTCCTGAGGTGCTGAGGATCACTAGGGCCTGACCTTGTGATGCTGGGAAACCATGTGGTATGGGGGATCAAACTCAAGCTGGGCATGTGCAACCTTCCCCTGTACTATCTCTCTTAGCTGGATATTTTTCTTTTTTTAATTTTTAAGAAGTCTCATAAGACAAAAAAATATAATCGAAAAGAATATTTTCTTATGCTTATGTAAGAAATCCACATTCATAGTGCATGAAAACTGAAGTACATTTTTCTGCTAGGCCTGTCTCCAACCAGAACTTTCCTTGCCAATCAGAATGGCCCACCAAGTATGAGTAGCACTCTAGAAAAAGGCATTGCTCTCTTTAAAAAATATTTTGAAAATAAGCTTCTGTCCTGTCCTGTGACAGAGCTAGGAAACAGATTTTGTGGACTGTGAGAACTTAGACATGGGTCTTAATAGTAATTTAAATTTATTCATTCTAGTTAAAGTGTCCATTTCCCTCCTTCCTTGCCTGCCTTGCCTGCCTGCCTGCCTTGCCTGCCTGCCTGCCTGCCTGCCTGCCTGCCTGCCTGCCTGCCTGCCTTCCTTCCTTCCTTCCTTCCTTCCTTCCTTCCTTCCTTCCTTCCTTCCTTCCTGCCTGCCTTGCCTGCCTTGCCTGCCTGCCTGCCTTCCTTTCTTCCTTCCTTCCTTCCTTCCTTCCTTCCTTCCTTCCTTCCTTCCTTCCTTCCTTTCCTACTTCCTTCTTTCTTTCTTTCCCTCCTTTCTTACTTATTTTTTGGGGACCATACACACAGTGACTCAAGGCCTACTGCTATGCATTCGGATCACTCCTGGTGCTCCAGGGAGCATATGGGATGCTGAGGTTGAACTTGGGTCAGTTACATGCTAGGCAAGTGTCCTAACCTTAAGGCCCTATATATATTTTTTTATTCAAACTGGGACACTATTCAGAATAAAATAAGGTGCTATCAATAATGATTTTGGAATACTTATGGAATCATTACATAATACTCATGCAATTAGCACTGTAGCATTGTCCTCCCGTTGTTCATCGATTTGCTCAAGCGGGCACCAGTAACATCTCCACTGTGAAACTTGTTACTGTTTTTGGCATATTGAATACAACACGGGGAGCTTTCCAGGCTCTGTTGTGTGGGCGGGCTACTCTTGGTAGCTTGGGGGGCTCTCTGAGAGGGACAGAGGAATGGAACCTGGGTCGGCTGTGTGCAAAGCAAACACCCTACCTGCTGTGTTATCACTCCAGGCGTGCAATTAGATCACAATAATTATAGGAAAAGCCGTAAAATAATCAGTCAACTATGCTGGAGCCATAAAATATTGTGTAGAAATCAACTAACGTAAGGACTCTGTGTTAAGGTAAGGAGCTGCTGTGTGGGTGGAAAGCTGGGATGGTTTATACAATACCTACATGCGAGGCCAGGAAGCTGATGTTTTTCCTTGGAAAATGAGATGGCCCATACCAGCCTCAGAAACAGACCTGAGTGTTAGATAATATACTGTATAACTGTAGGTGAGCTCACTGTGAGGAGAATCTGAATCTGAGGAGAACCAGTTTGTTTCTCTGTTGAATCATCTCCTGTAATGTGTATTTCTTTTTAAAGCAAGAAGGAACTGTCTCACATTGCAGAAGGACCAAATGCATCTCCCAAGAGTCCTTTCTTGGGCCTAGAAATTACTCAGTGGTTAGAATGCCTGCCTTGTAGGCCCGAGACTATGAGTTAAATTCCTGGAGCTCAACAGCCCTCAAGCCTGAGCTCCAATCCCTGAGGTACTGCGAATTTGCGATCCCTGTGAGGCTAATTGTTACTCTATTGCACCTCCCACAAACAGATTCGTGTGAGCACCGGAACTAAAATTTGTGCCAAGAACCTATCCGCACTGCAACCAGAGTATCTAAGCACCAAGCGAGAGTGACCCTTAGTTATGGCAACAGCATGAGAGATGGGGAGGGAAAAGAAAAAAGCAAATAATTCTCATGCTAATTAAATTCTTTTTTTTTTAAATACTACGTATCTCTGAGATTTTCAAGGGTATTTGAATTTTATTTTTCAATGGGGTGTTTTTAGTTTTGATTGCTAGCATTTTGATTTTTCCCTTTTTTGTTTTTTTTTTTTCAGATCAAAAGCATAGAAGTCTTTGCTCTGAATATTTGTGAGCATTTCCTTTCTTCTTTTAGCCACGTCACCCGAGCTCACGTTTGTGTGGAAGAAGTTCCTTGGAAGCGTTTTGAAAAGGTTATCTCACTCATTTGTGCCTCTCTTTAGTTACAGAAACTGACTTTATGGCATATGCTAAAATTTTACTGAAAATACATTTTTTTCCTCTAATTTTCAGAATGGAGTAAAGCATGTCCATGCATTTATTCACACTCCCACTGGAACGCACTTCTGTGAGGTTGAACAGATGAGGAGTGGTGAGAAAATATTTTTCATACTTTGATTCTGCAATAGCTATTTTTTTTTCCTTCTCCTAAACAATTCTGTTCATTAACTCTGAGGAAAACAGTAGAGAATTTTCAATCTGAAATGGTGATTATCATGGTTGACTTGGCTGATATGAAAGAGCCATTTAATTTTTTTATCTTAAAATACAAAAATAAAATAGTACATTTTGCAACATACCTGGGGGTTGCATGAAATAATTTTTCTTAAGTTTTAACTTGAGTCACAGTGCTTTACAGTACTCTTAACAAGAGGGCTTCATGCATACAACATCCTCCACCTCCAACTTCAGTGTGACCTTCACTGCACCATCCCCCGACCCCCGGCTTGTCTTGGAAAGCTTGGCTCTGTAGACCAAATCTTAGGCTCTGTTGCTTCTGACCATGGAATAGTCCCTTGCTAGTCTCCTTTATAATAAACTAAAATGATTTTATTTCCCTATTTTGAGGTGAAGGAAAAAAATGTTCCCGTTTAAGAGCAAACCAAATCTCTGAGTTTCTGACCAGTGATAAAAAGGTAAAGGCCCTCCCGTTGATCGTCGATTTGCTCGAGCGGGCCCAGTAACGTCTCCATTGGAGACTTTGTTGTTACTGTGTCTGGCATATCGAATACTCTCGGTAGCTTGCCGGGCTCTCCGAGAGGGGCGGAGGAATCGAACTCGGGTCGGCCATGTTGGCTGCGTGTAAGGCAAACGCCCTACCCACTGTGCTATCACTCCAGCCCGATCAGTGATATATATATATATTTTTTTTTAATTTTATTTATTTATTTATTTATTGAATCACTGTGGGAAAAGTTATAAAGCTTTCAGGTTTAAGTCTTGGTTATGCAAATATCAAACACAATTCCCTTTACCAATACTTATTTTTCACCACGGGCTGGAGCGATAGCACAGCGGGTAGGGCGTCTGCCTTGCACACAGCCAACATGGCCGACCCGAGTTCGATTCCTCCGCCCCTCTCGGAGAGCCCGGCAAGCTACCGAGAGTATTCGATATGCCAGACACAGTAACAACAAAGTCTCCAATGGAGACCTTACTGGGCCCGCTCGAGCAAATCGATGATCAACGGGAGGGCCTTTACTTACTTACTTACTTATTTTTCACCACAAAGAACCCCAATAAACCTCCCGACCCAACCATCCCAATGCCTGTGAGGCAGATGAATTCTAGTTAACACTCTATCTACTTTGACTAGATGCATTGTTTCGACAAAAGATGCACCATTATTATTTAGACTTCACACCCCCAAATCAGACATGCTGAAAAGACAATGTGAATTTGTTTTGTACGGCTGGTCACAAGAATCAAATGATGTCTGGATTTCTGGTATTTTACTTATTAACTCTGGAAGTATTTCTGCTGAGAGTCTGATAATTATGAGATTGGTTTCTGTGCTCTGGAGCCATGGCTGTGCAAGAGAGCTGCTGGGGGGGGGGGGCAACTCGTGACCTCGGTAGGACTTGAAGGATGAGCCGAGAATGCCCCCCTTTCTATGAGGTTTCAGTCGCCCCATAATAACCAGCTCATACCTGGCTTTCCACAAAGCTCCCAAGCGGCTGCCATCTTTCTTTCCAGAGGGAAGAAGGCAGAAGGGACCAACACCCTTTCCCCTTCGGGCAGACATGGTGGCGTGGATTAACGCATAGTCTATTTACTTTTCTGCTGCAAGCTGCTGGGCTCTGCCTTAAGTCCTTGTGCTTCTGGAGCCATGACCGTGTCGGAGAGCCGCTCGTGGGGGGCAACTTGTGACCTCGGTAGGGTGTGAAGGACAAGCTGGGAACATCCCCCTTCCCATGAGGTTTTAGTCGCCCCATCACAACCAGCTCATACCTGGCTTTCCACAAAACTCCCATGCTGCTGCCATCTTTCTTTCCAGAGGGAAAAAGCCCAGTGATTTTTTTTGTAATACACAATTCTATAATTACAATAACCTTTAAGAAAATATCTACTCAATAACAATCAAGTTTCTCTAACATTTTATTTGTATGATAATAGTTATTCTAATTACTATAAAAAGGATATTATTTAAATGGCAATAGTTATTATATCATTTTATTAATCAAATAATTTTAAAATGAGCCATGGAACAGAATGACCATATAGATCTTAATAGTGGCTATGATTGAACTTAACACTTTTTTTTTGCTTTTTGGGTCACACCTGGCGATGCACAGGGGTTACTCCTGGCTCTGCACTCAGGAGTTACTCCTGGCGGTGCTCAGGGGACCATATGGGATGGCTGGGAATTGAAACTGGGTAGGCCGCGTGCAAGGCAAAAGCCCTACCCGCTGTGCTATCTCTCCAGCCCAACACATATTTTTAATTGCCAAGTCTTGTCTTTGAGAATTGAGGTTGTCAGAGAATGATTCAATAGTTGACTAAGATTTAGTTTAGAAGACCTCTAAAAATCAAGGAGCTAAGCATGGAAGAAATGCCTCTGTCCTGATGCAAAACAAACTTTAATGATCATTATAAATTGTGTGTACCTTGTATTTTTCCTTTCCTATTTTATTTTCCTCTCCTCTTCTTCTCTTTCCTTTGTGTTCCTTGTTCCTTTCTTTTCTTTTTCCTTTCTATAGCTTTTTTTGTTTGTTTCTTTCTTTTGCCCACACGGCAGAGTCTGGCAAACTCCCCGTGGTGTACTCAATATGCCAAATACCAGTAACAATGATGGGTCTCATTCTCCTAACCCTTGGAGAGCTTTTAATATGGCACTTTTTAAAAAATCTCAGGGCTAGGATGAAGGAGAAGTTACTGGGGCCTGCTCGAGGCAATCGACAAACAACAGGATGGTCGTGATTGTGATCGTGATCTTTCTTTTGGGAGCCACACCTGGTTATGCTCAGGGTTACTCCTGGTTCTGCATCCAGGAATTACTCCGGGTTGGCAAGGCTACCATCGTACCTATATTTAATCAAATAATTTTTAATTAATCAAATAATTTTAAAATGAGCCATGGAACAGAATGACCATATAGATCTTATTAGTGGTTATGATTGAACTTAACACATATTTTTAATTGCCAACTCTTGTCTTTCGGAATTGAGGTTGTCAAAGAACGGTTCAATAGTAACCATTGAACTTCTCTTTTTTCTCTAGCTTTCTAGTAAGAATCAGAGGCGACATCTCATAAATGTTAGAAATACTGTAGGGTTAATTAATATAAGTCCTTTCTTTTATGCATTCTAGTGCATAAACTAAATTATAGATATAGCCAGGTCCTTCTCAGTGTTTGATTAATGGTTATGAAATTATTACCATATAAAGGAGACTAAATAACTAGCTGTTGAATTAAGTTGAAAAGATTAAGTCTTCTGTTTTAAGTCTTCTAAATGTGTAGTCTAGTGATAAATTAGCTCTCTGACGTGTTTATTAATTCAAATGCAATTCCTTGCCCTTCCTTTCCCTTCTTCCTTCCTTATTGACTTAGGTATATGACTTTAGCAAAGAGATAAAGGCTTCCTGATTTCCCTAATCATAATAACTACAATCATAACATTATCGACTCTAAACCAGCACTGCTCAGCAAAAACATAACATAACTCACATTGTGTGTGTGTGTGAAATGTGGGGCTTCACACATGCAAACAAGCACTCCACTATCCCATCACGATAAGTATCCCATCCTCCTACACTCCTAAAATTTATGCCAAACACAGTAACAACAAAGTCTCATAATGGAGACGTTACTAGAACCGCTCGAGAAAATCAATGAACAACGGGAGGACAGTGACAGTGACAGTGACACAATAGAAAAGCAAAAAAAATTATTTCATTAATATTTTGTGTGATATGTACAAAATACATAACCATGTAATAATATAAAATTATTAATAAGATATTTTTAAGTGAAGACGTTGTATGTATTTTGTATATAGAGTATAGCCTAATTCACATTTATTGAATACCAAGTGCTCAATAATTACCTGTGGCTAGTGGCTACCAAATTGGTTAGCTAAATCATTTCAACTAACTTTTGCAATACTTAGAACATTTTTTATTCCACTTTCAATTCTGTAAAATAATGAGTGGGACTAGAACTAGCTTTGAGAAATGCTGATTTTTAAAATGAGAGAATTTATAGATGAAGCTTATGTCTTTCTTTGTAATACTAATGATTCAACGATGATTTTGAGAACATTTCTATATATTAGGGGTTGTATATTTTGAGATGAGTGAAACACTCTAACAATAATGAGTTTTCAGAAACACTCTAACAATATTAAATTTTCAGTATCAGTTTTCAGTTTTAAATAGTAGATATACATTATATATATTATAAATATATATATAGTATGACTGTAACATATATACAAATGTATGCCTATATTTATAGTTTGTGGGTCTATAAACAAAGAGGTACAGAAAACCATTTATCCCTAGGATAATCTGGAAGCCTTGATAGGGGAGCAAATTTTCTAATAGACTTTTTAAATTTTAACTGAGAAAATGACTTGGGTAAAACAGCATAGAGTATGTTGAATAAAGAAAAGAGATTATAGCTAAAAGGAATGAACACAAGAATTATAAAAGAGAAGAGGGTAACTAATGTATTTTGAATACTGATGACATGGCATGCACATGTATATGTGCACGTTTGTGGCATGTCAATTAGCATACTGAGCAACTAATTTTAGTGTAGGAAGAGGAATTTGAGGAATGGTAACAAGTGTGAAGGTTCTAGTTCTTAGGATGCAAGGCAAAGAGATAAAAATGAAACATTTTGAAAGAACTAATATGCCCTAGTAACTAGATGTGGAGGCAGTTTTGCAAGATAACTAAACCCACAAGTCTTGGAATCAGATTGCACTGCATTTGAATTTGAGGTCCACTGTTTAATAACTTTGTAACTATGACCAAGTTACTTAAACTTTAGTGTTTTTTTTAAATCTGTAAAATGGAGAAGACAAGGTTTACCCCAATAATTGTTCAGAGAATAAAAAGAAGTATTAATATATTTCCTTTAATTAA